CCCAAACAAAAGGAACTCAAAGAGGACCACACCAAGACACATCATAATTAAAATGCCAAGGGCAAAAGACAAAGAGAGAATCTTAAAAGCAGCAAGAGAAAGACAGTTACCTACAAGGGAATACCCATACGACTGTCAGCTGATTTCTCTACAGAAACTTTGCAGGCCAGAAGGGAGTGGCAAGAAATATTCAAAGTGATGAATACCAAGAACCTACAACCAAGATTACTTTATCCCGCCCTCGGGGCCCTGGTGGCTCTTGTCCTTGGCGTGAATCCGCAGGTGACGCTTGAGGCTGGAGCGGCGCTTGAAGGTCTGGCCGCAGTGCGAGCACAGGACGAGGGTCAGCTCCGCCACTTTGGCCTTGGTGTCCGGGGCACAGGGGCCCTTTTGGTCCTGGGCGTGCGCCAGCAGGTGCTGCAGGAGGCTGGTCCGGCTCTGGAAGCCCTGGCCGCATTCGGCGCACAGGAAGGCGGGCTCCGAGTGTGTCTGCAGGTGCTTGTTGAGGTGGGAGCTCTGGAGGAAGCGGTGGCTGCACAGATGGCAGGCGTGCGGCCGCTCATCCGTGTGCGTGCGCATGTGCAGCTTGAGGATGGAGTTGCGGCCGAAGGTCTTCCCGCAGCACAGGCACTGGAAGGACCGCCGGCCCGGGTGAGAGCGCAGCAGGTGCCCTTCCAGGCGGGCCAGCTTCGGGAAGCTCACCCCACATTCGGTGCAGATGAACTTGGGCTCTGGCTCCGACCTGGGGGCCCCGGCGGCCGCTGGGCCCTCCGCAAGCACGTCCCTCTTGCTGTCGGAGGATTCTCCTCCACGGGAGCTGCTCACCGCAGGGCCCGGCCCCAGCGGCTGCTCCTGGGCCTCTGCTGCCGCCGCCCCTGGACTGTCTGGAGACTCTGTTGCGCTAGCAGCAGACCAGGCGACCCCTTTGGGATCTTCTTGGAACTCCTCGACTGGGATTCTGTTTGTAAATCCTGTAAAAGGAGCAAAACCAGGACTGATCAGGCCTATTCCAAGGGGCTCCCAGGAGGCGCCAGAACCTCATTGCCTGGGAACAGAAGGAAACTCAGGATCCGGTAAAGCCGGTGGGTGGCAGAGGGTGTGGGGTAAATACAAGTAACGAACCACTTACTCCTGTAACTGTTGTATAGTGTGCACTTCTAGGCCATTAGCTATGCTAGTATTCACAATGCTGTGCAACTGCCACCACTATCCAGTGTCAGAACTTGGCCATTCCCCCGAATGGAAACTCCATACCTATTAGCAAGCACACCCATGACTACCTTTTATATATATTTTCAGAGAAAGGGCGACGGAGAGAGATAGAAACCTCAATGATGAGAGAGAATCATTGATCAGTTGTCTCCTTCACTCCCCCTACTGGGGATCCACTCGCAACCTGCATATGTGCCCTTGACCGGAATCGAACCCAGGACCCTTCAGTCCACAGGTGGATGCTCTATCCACTGAGCCAAACTGGCTAGAGCTGACTACCTATTTTGAAAATTCAGAGTTAGTCCTGACTGGTGTGACTCCATTGGTTGGGCATCATCCCTTGATCCACAAGGTTGCTGGTTCAATTCCCAGTCAGGGCACATGCAGGGTTGCAGGCTGGATCTCAGGTAGGAAGTGTGCAGGAGGCAGCCCATCGATGTCACATGGATGTTTCTCTCTCTCTCTCTCTCTCTCTCTCTCTCTCTCTCCCTCCCTCCCTCTAAGAAAAGTCAATAAAAATATTTATGAAGCCCTGACCGGTTTGGCTCAGTGGATAGAGTGTCGGCCTGTGGACTGAGAGGTCCCAGGTTCGATTCTGGTCAAGGGCATGTATCTTGGTTGTGGGCACATCCCCAGTTGGGGATGTGCAGGAGGCAGCTGATCGATGTTTCTCTCTCTTCGATGTTTCTAACTCTCTATCCCTCTCCCTTCCTCTCTGTTAAAAATCAATAAAATATATTTTAAAAAAATATTGATGAAGAAAAAAAAAAGCCCAGAGTTAAAGGAGTTGATGATTACACCAGACACAATGAGCTGTTGAATATATACAGGATGGGACACAAGTAGGTTTATAGTTGTTTGTATGGAAAATAATAATTAATAAATGATAACATAAGAATAAACTCTGGCCCTGACCAGTTTGGTTCAGTGGATAGAGCGTCGGCCTGCGGACTGAAGGGTCCCGGGGTCGGTTCCGGTCAAGGGCATGTACCTTGGTTGTGGGCACATCCCCAGTGGGAGGGGGGCAGGAGGCACCTGCTTGATGGTTCTCTCTCATCGATGTTTCTAACTCTCTGTCCCTCTCTCTTCCTCTCTGTGGAAAATCAATAAAATATATTTAAAGAAAAAAGAATAAACTCTGTTTCAGGTACTCACTTTTTCAAAGAGAAAACCTACTTTAAAAAAAATTTTTTTAGTTGATTTCAGAGAGAAAGGGAGAAGGAGAGATAGAAACATCAATGGTGATAGAGAATCATTGATTGGCTGGCTGCCTCCTGCACGCCCCAAACTGGGGATGGAGCCTGCAACCCAGGCGTATGCTCTGACTGGGAATCGAACCAGTAACCTCCTGGTTCAACCACTGGGCCTCCCTGGCAGGACTGTAAGCCTACGTTTGCTCCACCATATATATGATCTCCATCAAAATAGCCCACGTGTAGCCAAAAAGGTTCAAGTATCAGGTAGGGCGTCTGGAGCTTCAGGAATCACATCCCAATGAAAAGAAAAAGGCTTCAGGGTGTGTAAGCCCTGGAAGGGGCTCTTACCCAGAGGGTACACAGGCCATGCCTTCTTCACGGGGACATCTTCAAAGGTCAAGGACTCCTGTAACAAGAGGAGGGGCAGAACCCGTGGTGAGTGAGGAACACGGCCCTGGGGCCTGAGGGGGTGGAAGAGCTTGCTAGGCTTAAATTCGGGAAGACGTGGACTTGCTAAAACTGCAGAGGCTACGAACATTTGGACAGAAGAGCATCCTGGAGTGAGGGGCCCAGTCCAACTCACCAGGACAGCTGCCAGCTCCTGATCACGGGAGTTCTCTTCAGACCACAGCTCGGGGCCCTGGGGGGCTGGCAGCATCGGGGGAGAAAGCGCTGTGAGAGGCCAGCCTTACCCAGCAGCAGGCGGAGGACAGGCACCTGTTGTTCAGTCTCTGCGACTTCTTGGCTCTCACCCACTCCCGCCAACTAGGGGCTGCCCACTTCCCTCCCCACCTGGCCTCCCAGCCCCCCACTTCCTTGGGCACCAGCTCCTCACCACTCTCCTGCAGGGCCTGGAATGTCCTCTTGGGACCTGGGCTCGGCGGCTGCTTTGAACTTGGGGGAAGTCTCCAGGCCCCCTGCTCAGCAGGCTGGGAGGGCCCTGGTTGGGGGGGCAGGAGTTCCGGTGCTGGTTCCAGAGCTGGAGGCTTTTCTGGGGGCACTTCCTTTTTGGGGCTGTGGACAGAGACCTGGGAAGGGTCCCCGTGCTCTTCCACGGTGATGTCTGCACGGGGACAGTTCTTGCCCGTGTTAAAACTAAAGTCCTGTTCAAAACAAATCCATGTCAGGCAATGGACAGGGTGGTAGCCCATGTCCTGCTGGCTCCTCAGACGCGAAACCAAGGAAAGAGGAGAGTCAGATGGGAAGAAATTAGGAGGTTAAGAAGGAATGGGCGCAGGGAGGAAAGGGGAGGGCCCAGTGATTCCTAATGGGGCCATGAAGTCCCTCTTTCCCACCAGCTGTCCAGCCCACCGAGCTGCCACCCTCTCACCAGTGGCCCCACGTCGATGGACTCCCTCGGGACTCCCTCCAGCAGCAGCACCACCTCCTCGCCGTCCCTGAGCTGCTGGCCCTTGAGCCGGGCCAGGATGTGCGGGGGCAGCACGCTCAGGAACTGCTCCAGCACCAGCAGCTCCAGGATCTGCTTCTTGGTGTGCAGCGCTGGCCGCAGCCAGTGGCCGCACAGCTCCCGGAGCCGGCTCAGCGAGGCCCTGGGCCCCATGTCCTCCTGGTACTGGAAGCATCTGAAGAGCTGGTGAGCCACTTCGGGCCGGAGCCTGAGCTCTGGCCGCCTGGGGTCCTCCTGGCCAGCAGCCTCCTCCTCCTCCAGTTTGACTGCACTAAGCTGCTCTGGCTCCCTCTCCGCCGGGTCGGTTTCCACAAGCATCCTTCACCTTCGGGGTCACCTCACCACACTGCTCCCTCTCTGAGGCTCTCTCCCTCTCTGCTCCCACACCTGTGGTAAGAGATGAAAAGAGAGAGAGAGAGAGAGAGAGAGAGAGCGAGAGAGAGAGAGAGATGCCTAAAGATGTGGCCTCCAGAGGAATCGTTTCTTTTCCTGGTCATGAGAATGGCTCAGCCAGCCCAATGCACCGAGAGGCAGAGAACACGGACAGCTCTGTATTTCCATCCTCTCTGCAGCAGTTAGAACTCCGCCTCACTTTACCCCAGTGGCCAAAGTTGGCGGCTTTCCCGGCCTCTTGATGTAATGCCGAGGGGAGTACCTGGCAGTACTGAGGATGGGTCCTTACCGGCTATGTTCCATCGCAACCCAATCCGTTCTTCAGACCCAACTTCCAGTATAAAGGGCAGCGGAGGGCATAAGAAGTCAAATGAGCCCTCAAGGAAAAATTTAATCAAGCCTAAAGACAGGATGTTCCCAGGAACAGCTGGCCCAGGCTCTTCAGTCTCTGTTATAAAAAATAAGTCCCTGTAGGGGCGAATTGCTCGAGACTAACACCCCTTGCAACCAAAAGCATGAAACCTGATAGGATTCTGATTTTTTAAAATATATATATTTTCTATTTCAGAGAGGAAGGGAGAGGTAGAGAGAGATAAAACATAAACGATGAGAGAGAATCATTGATTGGCTGCCTTCTTCATGCCCCCCACTGGGGATTGAGCCCACAATCCAGGCACGTGCGTGCCCTTCACTGGAATGGAACCCTGGACCCTTCAGTCTGCAGGCTTCGCTCTATCCACTGAGCCAAACCAGCTAGGGCCGGATTCTGATTTTTTTTTAAATATATTTTATTGATTTTTTACAGAGAGGAAGGGAGAGCAATAGAGAGTCAGAAACATCGATGAGAGAGAAACATCGATCAGCCGCCTCCTGCACATCCCCCATTGGTACATGGCCCGCAACTTAGGTACATGCCCTTGACCGGAATCGAACCTGGGACCCTTCAGTCCGCAGGCCGACGCTCCATCCACTGAGCCAAACCGGCCTCGGCCGGATTCTGATTTTTTAAATATTTTTTTTTCTAATTGGTTTCAGGGAGACTGGAAAGGATAGGGAGTGAAAGAAACATATTGATGCATCAACATTAATAAGTTGCCTCCTGCAGGCCCCCTGCTGGGGATCGAGCCCTGGAACCCAGGAAACCCAGGCATGTGCCCTGACTGGGAATCGAACCTTCCTCTCGGTGCATGGGTTGACTCTCAAGCACTGAGTGACACTGGCCAGGCTGGACTGGGGCCAGGGATCGAGCCTGCAACCAAGGTACACGCCCTTGACTGGAATCGAACCCGAGACCCTTCAGTCCTGGGCCCGACGCTCTAACCACTGAACAACTGGCCAGGGCTGGATTCTGATGTTTTAAAAAAGCTCTCAAAGATATTTCTGGATTAATTGGGGAAACTTGAACATGGATGGGCACTAGATGACAATGAAGATGAATTTCTGAGTTGGAATTTCAGTTTTGTGGTATGCAGGAAATGTGTTTATTCTTAGATGTTGAAGGGTTTGGAAGTGAAGGAACATGAGGGTTCAACCAAACTTATGGTCCGACCAAGATCTGGGATGGGCTCCAGGTGAGAGATCCGCTTACAGCTTGCAGAAGTTTGTGACAGACGGGTCCCCAAGGCAGGCCAGAACCGCCCTGCCCGTTTCAGTGGGTGTGCCCTTGGGAGCTGGGTATGGGCAGGAGAGGCAGTTTTCTTCCCTTTATTTTTTGTTTTAAATTTTGGATTCTTCCTTGGTCTATCTCTCTGGGAGGAATCCATCCCTGAGTCTGGCCGGCAATAAAGTGCTTCTAACTGGCCACCAGGGGGCACTGGATCCCTGTGACTGACAATGCGTCCCCCATCCCCCAAGTCCCACCCCCCCATCCCCGCTTTCCTGGCAAGCCCCAGAGGGTTCTGTGGGGCTACTCAGTCTTTTGAGGGGGCAGGGGACGGGGTGGGGGGGTAGGGGGGCGGGTAGCCCAGCTACCAAAGTGGGAGCTGCCCCAACTTCAGCCCCACTCACAGGGGACTCAATTTAGTCCTTCAGCACAACCCAGTGCACACCTGTACTTTTGTTACAGAGCTTTGGGGCACTTTTATATTTTAATTTGGGCAGGAATTATTCTGTGGATATTGAAACCCGAGTCCAGATCTCTTTCTGCCCTCCATACTGTCCAGACGCAGGGTTAAAAATGAGCTTCTCCCCAACCTGTCTCCCCACTCCCACCCCACGGACATCCAAGCAGGAGCTCAGCACCACTTTCCACCAACCAAAGGGAGCAAATGGTAGGTGCCCCAGAGCTCTGTAACAAAAGTACAGGTGTGCGCTGGGTTGTGCTGAAGGACTAAATTGAGTCCCCTGTGAGTGGGGCTGAAGTTGGGGCAGCTCCCACTTTGGTAGCTGGGCTACCCCCCCTCCCCCCAAAGACTGAGTAGCCCCACAGAACCCTTTGGGACTTGCCAGGAGTGGGGTGGGCATTATCATCCTCATTATTACTGGGTAATAACACAAATGAGCACAGATAACAGTTGGTCCCGTGTTATGGCTGAGGACACCAATGCCCAGAGGTACAGACCAAGACGGTGACTCAGCCCTGGCTGGTTTGGCTCAGTGGATAGAGCGTTGACCTGCGGACTGAAGGGTCCCAGGTTCAATTCCAGTCAGGGACACATGCCCGGGTTGCAGGCTGGATCCCCAGTTGTGGGCGTGGGGGAGGCAGCCGATCAATGATTCTCTCATCATTGATGTTTCCGTCTCTCTCTCCCTCTCTCTTGCTCTCTGAAACGTATTTAAAAAAATAAAAATAAAAAGGAGGTAACTCAACCTTGGCCATGGAGCCAGGGAGAAGTCAGTTTGGTGCAGAGCTTTGAACAATATGTTGAGCCCTCTTGATAGGGGACTCAGGGGCCACGGGGCTGAGGGTTCTGTAAACTTCCTTTTCAGGTGGGGTGAGTGGGGTGTGAACTGGTAGAACAGAAAGAATCTGGCTTTTTGAAAGCCTGGTCCTACACTTCCTGCTTCAGAGGAGAGGAGACCGGAGAGGGGAGAGGCCTATATCCTGACCACCTGACCAGGCTGGCTGTCTCTCCAGCCTCCCCCACCCTCCGTTCTGCAGCTCCCAGCTTCCCTCCCCTTCCCCCACTTTCCCCGCTTCTCTTCAGTCTTCCCCCTGCCCTCCTTAATCTCCCTTCTCCCCCCTCCTCCCTCCAGCACTCCCCCAGACTCTCCAGCCTCTAGTCTTTCCTGCTCTATGTCATCTGGGGGGTTTTCCCTTTATTGCCAGCTCCTCTACCCATTGTCCCCTCGCTTGTGGAACTCCACGACACACCAGCCACGTGGCTCTCCCCGTCCAGTGTCACTCGCTGCCACAATTTTGTGTGAGTGTATTTCTTCCCGTGGCCTGCGAGAAGGAACTGTTTGTGTGTGTTTTGTTTTGTTTCATTGACTTTAGAGAGAGGAAGGGAGAAGGAGAGAGAAAAGTATCAAGGTGAGAGAGAAAGCAGCCCCTACCAGGGATCTTACCCCCAACCTGGGCATGTGCCCTGACCAGGGACCAAACCTGCTACCCTTCGGTGCACGGACAACGCTCCGGAACAACTGAGCCACAAACTGGCTCTTGTTCAGTAACTGTTCACCCAGCACTTGCTGTGACTTCAATGTTTGTTAATAGAAATAACATAATGAGACGATAATGGCTGCCTTGCAGTTGTCATTTTTGAGGAATGCATGCAAAATGGTACAGAAAAGGTCTTTGATAAATATTAAAAAAAAAAAAAGGAGTTTTGTTCCATTGTGTTTTGGTAGCAAGAGCAAAATAATTAGAGAACCAATCACGTGTAATCAGGAACCCGGTATTAACAGGGTGCCTAGCTATATGGGTTGCTGAATCCCACTCCGACCCACGGGGTAAATTTGACAAATGCAAAGACTGTGTTCAAACAGGACGGGTAAACTGGTCAAGGTCACCCCAGGAGGAGACAAGATTTGCTGAAATTGACCACCAAGCAAAAGCCCAGAAACAGAAAAGGGCCCAGGTTCCCTCCTGCCCTCATCTTAGCAGAACATCATAATGTGAATCAGGAAAAATAATTCCAAATTCCAGCCATCAGGCCTAGCTACCCGGGGTGCCGGAACCGCCAGGTGAGGTCTCACCAAAAGGTTTGAAAGAAGTGGAATTCAAGGGAAATTGGCCTTTGAGTCCCTCCGTGCCTCGCCCCCTCCCCTAGCCCGAGCACACAAAAGCTTTGCTAATATGCACATCATCTGTGGGGGTTGGGCTGGGGGAGGGGGAAGACTCTGCAGCCACCCTCTGGTATGTGACCATCTTAATTTGGAGCCCAGAGTCAGGGAGGCCAAAGCTGGGCCAGCCCAGAGGGGAGTTGCTGCCATGGGCACAGAGCGGGGGTCCTTGGCCAGGAACTCGACCTTTCTCCCTGAACACAGTTGGCAGGAGTGTCTTTGTTGGCTGGGCTCCGCTCTTGGTGCTAAACTGAGTTGATAAGACCGGTCGGTCCTCCTGGGGGCAGCGGGTACAGCAAGCCCATGGCATAGCAAGTCTTGTAACCTCCCTGATGCCCCATCAACACCAGCCACTGTCCTGGTTGGCACTGGACCCTTCCCCAGCATGGACCACCCACACCCTCTCAAGACTGTCTTCCAGCGACCTAATCCCCCATCAAGGCCTGGAGCACCCAACCTCCCCACTCCCGGCCGCCCCACCCTCCGCCAGTTTTCTCTCCAAGCTGCTACGACCCCTTATGTTTGTCCTGGCAGCCTGCACCCCAGGCACCCCTGAACTCACCACTCGGTCCCCACTCCAGAGCCAGAGGTGCTGGGGTTCTGAGGGCTGTAGGACCAGTCAGGCTCGGCCAGCCTGGGGAAGGACTCCAGGAAAATGGGACAGGAAGTTCCCAGCCCCAGCCCCAGCCCCATCCAGGTGA